AAAAAAAAAAAAAAAAACACATAAAAAAGAGGAAGACAAGGGGGACATCAGGCTTCATTTCTTCTACAATTCCATAACTTGAGTTGGGGGCTTTTCTCATAGCAGCCTTTAGAAATCCAAACATTTAACTTGCCAGGAGCAGGTCGTGCAGACACAGTTTAGCTGCAGGTCTTATGGCCTGTGCCTCTTCTCCCTCAGGCCCCAGCGAAGGCCCGTGTCCTTCAGTCTCGCATTCCTCCTCGATTTGCTAAGAAGCAGAACAGCATGTGCTTGGAGCAGAATGATGTAACAGTGTCTGGAAACAGCCTGGGTACGGAGATCTGGGAGAGCAACAGCCCGGGTGAGTTGGGGTCTGTCTGCTCTGGAGTGTTTCACATGGATGGAGAATCCTCTGGCACATTCAGGAAGGATGAAGTGTCTCTGCTTAAGGGGAGAGTCTTCCCGTATCTAATACGGGAAATGGGAAGGGAGCTAGCAGACCTCTGGAGTTGTCTCTGTTGGGAACAGGACTGCTCAACTCTCCTCCTCCTCATTTTGATCGTGTAACTTTCCTAATCTGTTTCCAGCCTTTTTTAAAGATCAAGATCCTAAATGCTGTCTTCTAGGCCCATTGCTGGGTCTAGCTTAGCTGTCTTCTGGTTTTTACTTTACTGTTTTCCCCTCTAGCACTGAAGAGTTAGTGCTTCCCTTCTTACTATGTCTGCTCTTTCTCCTGCTGTCTTCGTGTTCACTTGCTCTCTGTCCTGCCTTTCCTCCCCTTGTCTTCTCCATGTTGCATCATTTCTCAGCTCATGGGGGTCACTAGCTTTCTGAGGTGGTGAAAATATCCTCTCTTATGTCCTTAATTGGGGAATGAATCGTGTAATCTGCATGGGGTACGAGGTATGCTCACAATCCTGTTTCGAGTGTCTGAGCCCTGTCCTCCCTTCTCTTCCAGCCCTGTCCGTTCAGTCCCCCGGCAGTGATTCCTGGAGTAAGCCCGTAAATGCCTTTAATGGTACTGAATCTAGTTCCACTGAGGTGAGTGGCACCAAATCCACCGTTCAGGTATCTTGTGTGTAAAATATTTACATAGGTGGCTCATGCTTCTCATTGCTCCAGCTGTGCTTAGCAACTCTGTCAGCTCTGCTTGTGCAATTTTAAACGGGCTCTCTGCACTTCTGTTTTCAGCTTCATGCTGGTCTAACTTAGAGGGCCAAATGCTGCTTGCTTTTACATGCGGGTGTAAATCTGGAGTAACTGTCTTGTAGAGCTACTCCAGGATTATGCTCCTAACTGGAAGCAGAGTCTAGTCCAGGATGGTGGTGTCCTGTAGGTCATGTTTGTGCCACATGCCTGTGAACAGTGTGTAGTTGTAGCCTTGACGTGGGGAGGAGGGGGCAGAGAAGGTCTCTGAATGCTTCCCCTCTGGAGACCGGAGTTCAAATCTGGTTTGGGTCATAAGTGAAATGAGTTTGGCAATCTCAGCCTAGTTGCCATGTGGGGCAATTTTCCCTTGCTCTAAAGGCACAGTGGGGTTGGCACAACGGTTAGGCTGTCTCAGAGTTGCGTAGAGCTAATGCAGCAGGCAAGGGGTGCTGCAGGTCAGGCCCAACTCCTTTGTAGTTAACTGAGAGTGATTAAAAAGGGGACGTGGTCTTGCTGTTCTTTTTCCTTCTTTGTGGAGCTGGGTCGGAGTCTGGGGCTTTAACACATTTCGTGCTTTGCATAGCAGGGTTTTAAAGGCAGCCAGGGGGATAGTGGCATTGACTTGAGCGCGGAGTCTCGGGAATCCTCCGCGACCTCCTCTCAGCGCAGTTCTCCATATGGCACCCTCAAACCAGAGGAGATGAATGGGGCTGGCCTGGTGGACCCAAAGCCCGACTGCCAGAAGGAGCAAGTTCAGAAGCAATCTGATAAAAAGGTAATCTGGATTTGCAGCCAAGCCAGAGCACATAGTGAGAGATCGATCTTATGAAGTGGTTCTGTTGTTCTTGATAGCATTTTTAAGGACAGAGATTGGGTTGTTCAGTCTTTGTGTCTCAGCCTCTCTGCTTTCCTATTAAGGATTCAGATCAAGGCTCAGGACAGAACAAGGAACACAAGCCTGGACCAATCGGCAACGAACGCTCCCTGAAAAACAGAAAGGGTTCGGAGGGAACGGAACGGCTGGAAGGGAATATTCCCCCTGTTAATGGGGTGGAAATTCACGTGGATTCTGTACTTCCTGTGCCACCCATTGAATTTGGAGTAAATCCTAAAGTGAGGATTGCATTTAATTTTATCTTCTTGGTGGTTTGAGCTTGTCAAGATGTGAAAGGTAGTTGGAGACAGGATTATTTAGGGGAAGCTTCCGGCATGTGCACTGTAGATTTGCCTTATAGATTTCATTACTGACACAAACCAGGTACTCAAGATGTCTTGGCAGATGCATATTATTTATTGCCTTGGAAATACTGTCCAAAGGACCACTTGGGGTGGTGACAGAGTAAGGGACAAAATTACAGCATCATAAGCCTGTGTGTGCCCCTGGGGGTTGCCTGCTGCTGAATGCTGAGAAATACCTTCTTGTTCTCTTCCAGCAAGGCTGACCAGAGTACAATCTTTAGTTTCTAGTGCCATGATTTGGGCTAGAGTCATTAACCATGAGAAGCTGGAATGTGGCCCTCAGGCTTGGGTTTGAATGGTGTCTTGTACTTTTTCAGGACTCTGACTTCAGTTTGCCACCTGGTTCTGCCCCTGGCACTGCAGCTAACCCTGTCACCAAACTGCAGGATGCCTTGGCCAGTAATGTAAGTTGGGTTTTTTGAGGGGAGACTTCGTTTGTTTTTCCTGGCCTTGGTTTATCGGCACCTCTCCTTGCTTAAATCCCAGACGTTTCCAAAGAAAAAATATTTCCTGGCGGTTCACCTCACATGTAATGCCTAGGCATCACACATGGCTTAAATCCTTAATGGGAACCTATGCCTCAGAGTTACCTTGATCAAATGAGCATTAACTCGGAAGGAATATGGGTAGTGACTCCACTGTCATTCAGTGACCTTTGTAAAACCAGAGATTTCGCAGAATTCACCAGTCTCCTCTGAGATGTAGGACCAGAGGAGAGTGCTGGCAATGGATGTGATGCAGATACTGACATTTCAGGCCCAAACTGACAGCATCCTCTGAAAGTTACACCTGTCACAGCAAACCGGAGGGCTGTGACCTGTTAGCTTGGCCCTTACAGAGCTTTCCAGCTTGCTTCAGCCCTTATTATTATATTAAAAAAATGAACATATTGAAAGCCTAACTTGCAGCTCAGCTGTGCACAGTGATGTGATAAGTTCACAAAGCTTTTGAAATGTCTTGGGTTTTTCAATTTTCTGGAGGCTTGTCTTAAGTGGTTGTTCTCTTTGTAAGCGCAAGGAGAGTCCAAGTATGGAAGGGGAAAAACATACCAGTCACAACCTATTAATCTCCTTTCAGGCAGGGCTCACGCAGTCCATTCCCATTCTGAGAAGAGATCATCACCTGCAGCGATGCATTGGCCTCAACCCAATGTCCTTCCCCACTGCAGACCTTACTCTTAAGGTAAGTAAGCTGTTATGTGAGCTTAATGCTTGCTCCTTGCTGAATCTTTAAATACATTGTGTAAAGTTAGGAGTATATTGTATTCAGAATGGGTGGAAAGGGATGTGAACAGTAGCTGTAGAATGAGTGTAGCAGGATTTCCTGCTGTCGTCACTGTCTCAGTGGCTGGCTGTGCTGACAGGTCAGTGATCCTAGGTGCTTTGCTGTGCCTGACAGTTCCAGGATGGGGAAACCTCAGCCAATGCCAAAAGTGATTGTGGTTTTTTTTGTGATGGATGCTTACCCATTGGGAATTGATGTTAAACCTCATGTCCTGAGACATGCCAGCTTTCAGCTGCGACTAGCTCAGGTTGGATTTCAGCTGACAGTTTACAAATGAGCAGCTCTAGGCCTCCGTCTTTTCCTCCCCATTTGAACTGTCTGTAGTTATTGCCCTTCGTTTCCATAGATGGAGTCTGCTCGTAAGGCCTGGGAAAACTCTCCTAGTTTACCAGAACAGAACTCTCCAGGAGGCGCAGGCTCAGGCATCCAGCCTCCTTCCAGTGTCGGAGCTTCCAACGGTGTCAGCTACAGCTCTTTTGGCGGTGTTTCTATGCCTCCTATGCCTGTGGCATCCGTAGCACCTTCTGCATCTCTTCCAGGTACCTGCAAACTGCAGCAGCAGTATTTGCATTGTCTGGTTGGTGCATCTGCTCTTTCCTGTGAATCCTCCTTGGATTCTCATAGATGAGAGCGTGGTGGGAAGAACCTCCATATAAAGTAGCAGTCAACTGGTTGGTGTTCAACAGATCCTTAACAACAATTCAGGCAGGACAAAATGCAACCACTTCCACTCTTTGGAGACTGTATCTTGAATTTCAGTGGTAAAATCTCAGTATAAACCTTTTTATTTTTGGACATATTTATGACTGTGCAGTGGCTAGTCTCTGTGATGTCTCAATAGATCCTGCTGACCCTTCACTGTGTACTCAATAGAAGGGAAGTGAATTAATCTATGGCTGAGAGACTTCCAACACTCCTAGCATTAAAATCACTTATTCTTCTATCCATTTTGTTATTTGGGACTTCCCTGTACGTCACAACTTTTTCTGTATGTAGCAGAACTTTCTGCTCTTTCTTCCTAATAACAGTAACTTGTTTACAGTGATAAACGTTTGCATAATTCTGGGAGCTGGGGAAGTGCTGCTGTCCTTGAACTATGGAGGGCAAGCTTAAGATGGGTGTAATCAAGGAGAGAGTTTGGGATGAAGAAAGGAAATGTACCTGGATTCACTAATTTCCAGATCCCAATGGAGCTGTCATGCATTGCCCTACTCTAAACTGGAAATTGGAGCAAATGCACTGGGCGGAAGTGATAACGAGGGGGTAACGGGGGTGGTTGCCCACCTTCTTTTACTTGGAAAACAGATTGTTTCCAAGCCGGGTTATTTTTCTAGCTCTCCCTCTATCTTGTTTGTGTGTTTTGTGCTTCAGATGTGTACAGAATCACAGGAGTGGCATCACACTTGCTTCTTGGTGCCCACTCTTGGGGCTGATGCGGCTCTTGGCTCTCTCATGTGAAGATCCCAAGCACAATTTTGCTCTTAGGTTCCCTTCCAGCTGCAAAGCAGTACATGTTTGCCGGCTTAGGAGCAGCTTGGAATACAGCTCACCAATTCCCAAACTGCCCATATCTTGGGACTTTGCTGTGGAGAAATAAGTTTACATTTAGCCTCTTATATTAGCAGCCTTGGCAAAGCATGTTCCCCCAGGGCATAAGGACTGAAAAGTAATGACAACTTTCTGTAATTGGGCTTCTGATTTGTATGTGAACTTGTGAACTTGACTGGCTCTTCTGAATTGCTGTTAAATGTGTGTTGACTTGCTGAGCTGGTGCCCCAGAGGTGGGAAATAGGCTTGATTGTCTCTGTGCTGGGTACCTTGAGTGTGTCCTCACTCTGCCATGAATTCTAACCTGCCTTTTCTGATGTTTAGGTAACCATATTCCACCCCTGTATCTGGATGGCCATGTGTTTGCAAGTCAGCCCCGCCTGGTCCCTCAGACAATACCTCAGCAGCAAAGCTACCAACAGGTAGGAGAGAAAAGCAGCTGGCGAATGTGTCTTCACCGAGCCTTAAGGGTGGCATTTAAGGAATGGAGAGTGTCATTTATCTCCCTGAAGCCCAAAGGAGCTTAAATGTGGCTCCCTTCAGATTCCTTGCTGCTTTCCAGTGGGTGTCACAGGTTAGGGAGACTGAAGGGAGGGAATTGGGGATGACGTTTTTCTTTTCTGCTGATGTCTTTGGTTGAGCTGAAGCAGATGCTGAGAAGTCTGGGTGAGGTGGATTGACTTTCTGCAAAATTCCCAACCTGCCAACACTGACGGGCAGTTTTAGTGGCCTTAGAAAATAAGCTACTAAAACTTAATAGCATTGGGAGGAATCACTTAGGGATAAGAGTGCAGGCAAAAGAGAGCTGGGATCGTTACTGCCAGTAAAAGGCCTATTCTGTGTGTGGAGCATGTTGGTCCCCAAGAGGATTCATGCGACACTTCGGGCAGGCATCAGTCTCTCTCCTGGGTGCCTGTGCAGTTGCTTCCCCATTTGATGTTTTGCTGTATTGTGGAAGGAGGCAGTGGAATTACCCACACCACAGGGTGGGTGATTCTCGTGGCAGAATGACTGACTGACTGACTGAGGAAACTGATGGGTTTTTCTTAACAGCCTGGGATAGTTTTTTGTCTGTTGTACCTCTCAGTCATCTTATTTTCTTCCACAGGCTGCTGCTGCTGCTCAACAAATTCCCATTTCCCTCCACACATCCTTACAAGCCCAAGCTCAGCTTGGGCTGAGGGGTGGCCTGCCCGTCTCCCAGTCCCAGGAGATCTACAGCTCCATACAACCCTTCAGGTAACTGCTTGCTGCTGTTCAGTTCCTTATGGTCTAAACCTTCGTGTTCCAAATAGCTGGGCATGTAGATCAGACACTCCCCACTCATATTAATTTCCCCTTTTGCTGACATTCTGGTTCTTTACATAATAACTTTGCCTGGGAGGAGAGTGAGGGTATGAGAGCATGTGAGGCTCTTTGTACGATGCTTCTTCATAGGACAGTAGCAAGGACCATCTTTGGAAAATTGCATTCAGTTGTAGTGTTTACCCTCTCAAAGGGGAGGTAGATTTGGGGAAAGATAAGAAAGGAGATGCTCATGTTGTAGAAAGAAAGCTTCAATGAGAAACCCAGAGCTTAGAGCTTATGGTGTTTGGCTTATTATTTGGGAGAAGATTAAGAGACTTGTTTGATCGGAGATGAGTGCCTGCATAGGGAGTTTAAAGAACTTCCTTTTTATTGGACATAAACTACAGGGCATGAACAAAACAAATGCCAGCGCTCTGGCAGAAATGAGGAAGATTCAAATTAGAAATCAGCACAAGTATCATTACAGCAAGAGTATCTGGGCACAGGAAATGCAAGAACATGGTTATAAGGGCTTAAAAATGAAAATAAAAGAATATAAAACCCTGCAAGAAAAATGAAAACAGGTGGCACAGCTTGTGCTGAACTATCTACTAGTAGATATTCTGTCTGGGAACTTGCAGACTCAAGCCAGATACTGTTTGGGAGGGGTGTGTGTATGAAGCCTCCAAAGGTTTGCTGCACATTGACTTGCATGATTTGATTTTATTTTTTCTTCTCAGGTCTCAGGTGTATATGCACCCCAGTCTGTCTCAGCCCAGCACCATGGTCCTGACGGGAGGCACCGCTCTAAAGCCTCCGTATTCGGCCTTCCCAGGCATGCAGCCCTTGGAGGTGGTGAAAACCCAGTCTGGGTCTCCCTATCAGCCAATGAACGGAAGCCAGACGCTGGTTTATGAAGGCCAGATAAACCAGGCAGCTGGTATGGGAGCCTCCCAGATGATGGACTCGCAGCTCACGCAGGTGAGTAGAGCTTACGAGGTGTCCTCTTGTGCAGGGACATTCACAACCCTCACACAGTCACAGAATGACTGAGGTTGGAAGGGACCTTCTAGGGATCACGTGGTCCCACCCTCTGCACAAGCAGGGTCACCTAGAGCACGTGGCACAGGATCATGTCCAGGCAGGTTTTGAACATCTCCTGACGACTCTACAACCTCTCTGGGAAACCTGTTTCAATGCTCTTGTGTTTATCCTGCACCTTAGTGCACTGCTTTTAGGCTCCTTTTAGCAAAGCTAAACTTTAAGGTGCTAGGGCAGAGTGTGTGAATCCCAATACTGCTATTAATTCATAACTGTATGTTCCTGTCACGCAGTTAACGATGCCTGTGCCTGGCTCCCAGCTTCCTCTGCCCCGCTACGGTTCTGGCCAGCAGCCCCTGCTTCTACCACAGTCCATCCAGCTTCCCCAGGGGCAGAACTTGCCTGTAGGAGCTCCCCGAAGAATCATCCCGCCTGGATCCCAGCCTTCTGTTCTTGCAACCAGCAGAGAGGTAAGGATGATTTCCTGCATGCCCATCTTGGCATTCATTCACTGCTCCCCTTGCATTGAGGTTTCATTCCACGATCCTGCCTGTTAACAAGGAGATTGGCTTGTTCGGGATCCTTAAATCCCAAAGCCAAGGATTAGTGTTGAAGTGAAGCATCCTTTTCCTTTTGCCTCCAAAGCAGTCTTAAGGTTTTGCTGCTGCTCATCATTCTGTTTCCAGGGAGCCGCATCCTGCCTTGATCCAATTTGGAGTCTCCAGTTTTATTGCATGTTTATGCAGGTTTCCCCAGAGTGCTTGAGGGGTGGTGAGCTCCAGACACAGCTGGAATACTGCCCAGATACTTTACACTGTTGTGAAGCTTGTCCGTTTGAGTAGGTATATTAATGTCATGTCTGCTGTGATGGATTCGTATCATAAATTTGTCTATTCTAGGGGAGAGAGCACAGCAATTAACCTCCAAGTTCTATATTTGTTTGTGCTGTTGGCTTGGTTTAATGCCAACGGACCATTTCACTTATTAGCCCCATTTTCTTCGCTTGAAAAATGTTTCTTCTTTTAATTGGCTTGATGGGTAGAGGGGCAGAGATTTGACTTGAAGGTTTGTATGAGGTAATGGATGATCTGTAAAAGATATGTTCTCGCTAATTTTCCTCTGTAGTCCTCCCAGATGGAAATGAAGGGGTTTCATTTCTCCGATGGTAAACAGAGCATGTCCTCTGGAGCATCTGTACCGTCACCTCATGCATACAGGTAAACTGACAAAACCCAACCTTGCAGTGACAAGATGCATGCGTCCTGCCTCTACAAGATCCACTTGGATTTTCACGTGCAGAGTGTGCTTATTATAGTCTAAATACTGGTATGAAAGTGTATCATCATGGCTTTGGTTTGGTTGCTTCAGTGTGTCTCTGATTTGCCCCTCTGTTCCTGAGAGAAGGGAGTGAAGTTACTTATTTTCTGTGCCTTAAGGGCAAATTGGAATTGGAATGTGCTCTTCCCTGTTCCTTGTTAAGCTGGAAAAGTTTGAGATTATTGAATAGCTTTAGTTCCTGCATTGTATTCTCAAACCGAAGGTGTGAGGGGCTCTTGTGCGCATAGTCCAAACCTTTAGGCTGCTGGACCTTTGAGCACAGGTTTGCACTGCTCTGTTTTGTCTTTCCTAACTAATCCATGTGTTGTGTGTTGGGCTGGGGAACTCACTAGTCCTCACAGTAAAAACTCACACTGTGTCTACAACTACTTTCTGCTGTTTCTTTTTTTTTTTCTCTCTTTTTTTTTCTTTTTTTTCTTTCACATGTGAATAAGGTTCTCATTCCATTGTAGAATTTACTCCATGAATGTTGTCGACTCTTCGATTTCCAGGCCTAGCTCTGCCAGCCCAAGTGGGAAGCCATCTGGACCAGCTGTTAATATGGGCTCCGTGCAAGGACACTATGTACAACAGGTAGTGAACATCAGTACTCTGTGGCTGATCCAGTAATGTCTGCTCTTTAAATACTGCCTTGTGCTTAAAAGGGAGGCAGGAAGACCTGTGTGCTAGAACGGTACATAGGAGCTGTTC